CAAAGTAGAACAATAAGGACGAAGTACAAAGGCGCGTCGTACAATTAGATTTGTGAACAATTTCCACCTTCCGCTTGCGTCACCCTCCCCACTCCGTCTCACGGCTTTTACCCTTCTCGTGCGCCGCAACTCGGAACCCTGCACCTCCACCAACGTAGTTTTAGACTCTGTTCCAGGTAACACTTTCCGGCATGTCTTTCGGGATTATTTCGAATTGCGCGGAAACTACTTACGTTCGGTTCTCCTGTTGGACGAACTCGATTATGTGTCTCGGTAATAATCGAGGCCGATTGCCGTCAATATAAATTTCACCGTTAGACGTTCGTTCATTCTGTTATAAAACATTTAGAATTCGAGATTTTCCTTGTACAGTTTTTCGTGCACTTTCTTAACGAGCGCCGGCTTTTATTACCCCTCATTGAGCGTTCGTTAAATTACGGTGGACGTCTGTACACGCTGTTTACTTACCTGGCCCGAAAACGATTTCCCTAATGTATCAAAATAGACAGCCAATTTATCTTTCTCTAAACTCATGCTGTATTTCGACAACAATTACAGTATCGTAGAGCACAAATATCTATTCTATTCTCGCTATATTCATACATTTTATTTTTAGAAGAGGCAGTAAAACAAAACACTTTACAGTTCTACGCTTGAGAAAAGCAGATAAACTGCAATAAGCTGTATTCTCCGAGTTTTAAGCTTTGTCAGGTCGAAGCAAATATTAATATTTTCGATAGGTTTCGGCGTATAATTATTTCTTGCTATCATAAATTACTCCAAGCTTCTCAGTTCATATCCAAGTATCGTAATTTATATATAGATAAATTGCAAGAATCATAAAATACCTAGTTCCTTTTTTTTTTTTTTTAATTTTACAAACCAGATCTATACGCGTAAATAAACTCAGACACGCAGAATTTTCGACATACATTTCCTTCTGCCGTCAGTTTACCCATTTCACATTCTTCGCCAGTTTTCACTTCGTTATAAGAAAAGAAAACCATCGATCTCGATCCTCTCCACTTCACCCAATCACTCTCCTACCTCTCCACTACACTGCGCGGACCACGAGAAACGCGTGGCTAAGCAAGTAACATTATCAAACAGGCCGAACAGTGTTCGCCGGTCTAATTGAATCGAGATCAAAGGATGCGCGACAGCGCGAACACGACTGACGTTTATCCATCGTGACAGCACGTGCCGGTGCCTAGTGGGCCACACGCGGACCGAATTTGTTCTTTTTTTGCATCAGGTGGTCGCGGTGCAACGTAATAAACATATTCATAGGTGGTATAAAGTGGCGAGAGGGGAATGGAGAAGGTTGAAAAAGAGAAAAAGCGAGAAAGCAAGATAGAGAGCACGTGGTGGATGGTCGTGGCTGCGTGTAGGATGGCGACTAGCGAAGGGTATCGGGGGAGAGGAGCTTGTCGCATTCGGTATGCAAAGTGCACGGGCCACGGGGACCCGCTTCGTCGCGTGGAAAAAAAGGTATCATAAAAAAATGCAAGGTTACCCACATTTTTTTTTATTCCCCCTGAACAGCTTGGTGGCTCCAGCGGAGTGCAGCCGATTCAGGGAACAGGGGAAGCTTCGGGGGAGCTGTCCGGGGCGGAGGAGGAAGCAGAGAGTTGGGTTATCGGTGAGTAATACCGAGACGCACTCTTTACGCAGACACCTACGGCCCTGTTCGGGCTCGTGGCTCGCTTTGAACCTGTTAAGCGGGTAATTCCTTGAGACAAAACGTCCCCCATGCCGGCAATTCGACGTGAGCTACGACGCGTATGCTCTGCGATTTTAACACCGAGGGAATCGGCCGTGATTCATCCGCCTAGCTGGATGTCTTTGAGAGAATAAATAAATAAATGAGACGCCTTGCTGCCTAAATGAACGACGCTTTGTAAATAGAAATTTGTGTATATGTCATCGGTAATTGTAGAGTGATCGCTCGGTCGTGTGATCTTATGGTATCCTATTTATTATGGATATTTGGTATAGATATTTTTTACGTAAAGGAGAATTTTGAAAATCTATATCGTTTGATCATTTACAAACGTCCAACGTCGCTTCATTTATATATATTGTGAGAATGAAACTACCAGATAATAGAGTATCAGGTTATCATAGTCGATATTAGAATTATTAAATATTTTGAAAATAATTTGCAGTTTTAGAAGATAATGGAGAAACTTGAGACTTTTTAAATTAATACGTTAATTTTAACGATAATTATTAAACTTTGATTACTCGTTATACTCGTTAAACTCATTACAAGAATGTTTTCAAACGTCGAGATAACTTGCCTTCTCCGCTTAACAGGTTAATAGGAAGTTAGGCGAATTGCGTTTACTGGGGCAGGATATCAGTTGACCTTTCTCGAGGGGAATGAATTTTTTCCTTTTGGTGGATGAAGGAGTCGTATTAGGATATAAAACAGGGATAAGAAGAAGAACGATTAAAGATTAACGTCGATAAAACTTGCAAAAAAGATTACGCTTGGTGTTAAATGTCACATGCTTGAAATAAAAATTCAATCGAACAATTTCAATTTCCCGTAGATATTGTCTAACATATTTATATTTAAATATTTAAAATTTATATTGAAAATCTATACATCAGAAAATTTTATGTTCGCTCTACGTATTTTATTGAAAATGAAAGTGGACAATATTAAATAAAAACAATTTAAACACACAATGCTACAAACAGTTACAGTATCTAATCTAAGTAAACTAGTAAAAGAATTAAAATTTTACAGGAAAATCTTTCTACAGAAAAATTATATTTCAAGTAAAACTTGTAACTCCAAAATTTCGGAACGAGATTGATGAGATATTTGTATATTTAGAGCGTTCGTCTCAAGTTTCCTGCGGTCATCGTAAAGGGACACGTCGGAGCAAAAGATTTTCAATAATGACGCTGCACATTTCGGTACAGTCACCGATTTCTTTTGGCGAAATTCGTGCCAGCGAACGACCGAAACGTTCGATCTCGTCGACGCGCAGGATACGTCGTGTCCTTCGGGAAGAAAATTGCGAAAATCGAAACGTAAGGAAACCGAAACGTAAGAAATAGCCATGGCAAGAGAGAAAACAACGCGCGAGAGGGCGATCATCCACGAAAATTGCAGCGAAAAGAACACGAGGGAGTCTGAATTTTAGAGTTCCGAAAAATCTCATCGGATAAAGTTTCGTGTGTAAGGACAACGTTGAGGATACGAACGCACAAGGATTCCTGTGCCATGCGCGACTCTGCTCGTCTTCGTCTCTCCTTCGTTGACCAGCCGAAGAGCGGGAGGACGCAGAAGAAGAAACACGAATAAAGACGAGGGTTGAGAGGAAAAGAGGGCGCGAAAGAAGAAGAAGAAGAAGAAGAAGAAGAACGAATCGTCCGTTCGTTAAACAAGGAGAAGAATCGAATAAGAGAAACGATGAACAAAGAAGGAAAACATTCGGCGTCCCACAGGATTCGTCGTCCTTTTAGAAGAGAGGGCGACGAAGATAACCAGAGCAGTGAAAGAGAGAGAGAGAAGAGAACCCGAGAAACTGTGGACTATAACAGAAGTGCGGAGGGGCAAGGAAGAACTGGTGGGGGCAAGGAGCGCTCGACGTCTCAAATTTGGTTGGCTGTCTCGAGTTGTTTGCCTCTCCGTCAAGCCTATCCTTTTCGCTTTCTTTCTCTGTCGCTCGCCTATGAGCTACATGGCTGCGGGAAGAGGGAGCTTTGGTCGAAGGTGCTAGGTGGGAAAGGGAGGATACCATTAGAGAAAGGAGGAAGGATTGCTTCGAGAAACGTTCAAGGGAAAAGGAAGGGATGAGTCGGAAGCGAGAAAGTCGACGAATGTTGGTGGATTGAACAGAGAAAGAAGTTATTCTAGTAAACCGAAGAAGGGAAGGGTGAGAAACGATTGGGACAGAGAGGGAAGGATGGGGTAAAAGGAAGATTGAAAGGAGAAAGCACTATCGGCTGAGTAACATTAAGAACGAAGAAGGAAGGAAATACAACGAGAGGAAGAAAGAGAGGTGATTGGAGATAGAAAAGAGAGGGCAGCATTTCGTCGACGATAGCGGAGAAGAGGGGAGGGGAAGAAGTTGGTGCGGAGGAGAGAGTGAGAGCTGCTGAGATGGTTGGAAAGAGCCAGTACGTGAGCTAGCAAGTGACGGTACAGAGAGGGTAGTGGAAAAGGCTTGGAAGGTAGGGGGAGAGCAGTGCCTTGGCGCGAGCCCGAGGACTCGAAACTCCGGAATTTCAACCGCCAGAGTTGTACCGGCGCTCGTACGACGCGGGTCTAGAGAGTGTGTGAATAAGCTTGAGTAAGAAAGAGAGACAAGGCACGACCACTGAACTCGGAGAGGGGATGGCGATGGGAAGGGAGTAATAGCAGTAGAGAGGGACAACACGAGGTTGAGGACGACCACTTGATATTTACAATCGTAGTTGGAAGGATATACTACTACGTATCTCGTGTCTTGCACGTTCTCGTGGTTGCACGTTCCACGGTTTTACCGATTGCAAGTGAAATTCCGATCGTACGAAATTTTCGATCCTTCGGTTTGATTGATCGTGAACATCGGCAGTGCAGTATAAAATAAATCAGTCGATCCTTACGGTGGTGAACGCAAGTTTATTGTTTGCATAGACATTGATGGAAACAAGACGGACATATTCGTTACAGTGAACAGTGTACAGTGAAAAGTAATGGGTTGTGATATGGCCAATGATTCGAAAAGAAGTTCTGGTTATTATTGCATTGCCTGAATTCGTTTGTTGAGAAGTTACTGATAATCGGAAGAGTGCGGACTAGTGATCGAAAATCGCCAACCGTATCGTGATGTAAATCGTACGCGTATCGTTATCGTTTGTATTTTTTGTTCGTTTCTTTATCTTTTTTCGAACGTATTGCTTTGTGAGTTCCTTCGCTAAGCTCGAAATACAAAATTCGTTAACGTTGAGACACCGCGTCAGTGGCGCGTCAGTGGATTGTCATCGGCGTTTCGTCGAGGCGAGGGCGACCATGCCGCACATAGGGCTGCAGTCGATATTGCACCAGCTGGAGCGATCGAGGTTAATCCTTACTTTCGCTCCTGGCATATGTGCAATCATATGATAAATGTAGAACACGTTGTACCCTTTTTTTTGTTTCTTTCCTTTCATTTGTTTTCTTTTGGCCATTTAATGTCGGAAAACCCGTCTTCTTGGCAAATGCTCTCGTAGATTCTCGTTTTCGCGCGTCTTGAGTCATCGTCCATGTGCGGTACGCGAGGAAACCTGTATCGACGTTCGTCGACGGTTGAAAGTAGGGAAACGCGAGACGTCCCGACTTGACGAGCGCTTCCAAGTCACGTTATCGTTCAAACGCCTCGCAACAAGAATTGTCTAGTGTTCGAACCCTTTGAAAATCCAAAAAGTGAGACAAACTACATATCGTGATAATAGGACAGACTGTTATCGGAATTTCGCGCGCGCGCGAGCGCGTGTAAGCGCGCACGTGTCTGTACAACAGCATCGTTTCAGTGTGAAGTGTGTGCTGGGTCTTTTTTTTATTGTTCGTGTCACAAACAGTACGCTGTTACTAAGAGGAAAGAAACGTGAATAAGTGCGTGCAATTTTCTTTCCATGGAGAAGGGTGCGTCTTAAAACAAGACGAAAGTGGAGTAGAGAACAAGGAACAATATGAGTGAAATGACGAGTGTTGAACAACAACAACAACAACAACAACAGCAGCAGCAACAACAGCAAGAACAGCAATACGTAGGCGGCAGTTCAAATTCGGAGCATCATTGCAAGGATTGTGGTCTTTACTTCGAAAGCGATAAAAGTCTCGAAGTGCACCTGAGGTATCACCAGGAGAATCTTCTCAGTCAGTGGGCGAGCCAGGCCCAACAGGAGGAGAGTAACAACAATAACAGTAAGGCCGGTAATCACAACAGTCACGTGGGCGTCAAACGTGATAGCGTGACCGCTCCGGCAGACTCGAGCGAATTTTCTTCGAGACCGCCCTCTCAAGATCCTACGTCATCGTCTCAACATTCATCGACACAACAACAACAGTCAGTTCACCACCAGCAGCAGCAGCAGCAAGTTCAGCAGCAGCAGCAGCAGCAAGTTGAACAGCAGCAGCAAGTTGAACAGCAGCAGCAAGTTGAACAGCAGCAGCCGCAGCACCAGCAGCAGCAGCACCAGCAGCAACAAGCTGCTAGCCAGAGCTATAGTCATTTTCAAACGTCGATGTACGGTGATAATTATTTCATGCAGAACGATCAGGCCTACATGTTGTCCCATCATTACTCACCGCCACGTGAAGACAATGGTGTGGGTGGTGTGGGTGGTGGGGGTGGAAGTTATTCGCGTTACCACCCATACCAACATCAACAACACTTCCCGCCGGAACGTGCGAATTCAGTGAGTTCTACCAGTCCGAGAAGTCCGCCACTACAATGTGAGAAGTGCGGTGCTGTGTACGAGGATGCGAATCAGCTGGGTGAACACGTAAGAGCAAGTCACTCGAATTCACCCGGAGGTTATCCTGGACAACATCAGTATCAACAACTGGGTAACAGTCCTCAACAACAAAATCAACAACAGATGCACGCGTCGCCACCGCAATCTAGTCAGCAGCAGCAGCAGCAACAACAATCTGGCTATGATTATAATGGTAGGCAACCGGTAAAACTGGATATAACTAAGGAACCGGACGAACAGGCGGAAATTCTCGATTTGGATTCACACAAGGTGCAGACTCACAGGTACGAGGATGAACTAATGAGAATGCATCAGCAGCAACAGCAGGAGTTGCAGATACAAATGCATCAACAGCAGGTAATGCAACAACAACATCAGCAGCAACAGAGGGCTGGTGCACATTCGGTGAGTTCTATGTTGGCTTGGCCACCGGCCGCACAATCTCATGATTATCATCCCGGGTTATCGCCTATGATTCCAATGGATAGTATTTCACCACTTTCGGATCAAAGTCAATTTATACGAGGGCAACACATGCCCGTCGAAGTACCGCGACATCCAAATTCTCCGATTATTTCAAGCACGCAACCGATGCCCGGTCACCAGATACCCGGGGGTCTGCTGCAACAACCACCTAAACCTCCGCCTTTAGCTAATCAATCGTGGAAAAGTAACGAGGCGCGGCGGCCAAAGACCTACAACTGCACTGCGTGCAACAAGTGGTTCACCAGCTCGGGCCATCTGAAGAGGCACTACAACACGACGCTGCACAAGAACGCTGTTAAACAGAGTAATCAGCCAGACCCAGCGAACTTGCCGATCAGTGCTCATCATCATCCTGGTAGAGATAGCCATTCTAGTGGCAGAGGCGGAGGACCATCTAGATCGCCAGAGTTATCTTCTTCCGGAAGTCCCCCAAACTTGATGGCAGGTCCCTCGGGCGAGGCGGCGAGGGGCCTGCTCCACACGCCCACCAATCTTTACAACAACCACAACAACAACAATTCGAACAGCAGCAGCAGCAGCGAATCTTCGGCGACAATAGCGGGGCTAACGCAACAATCGCCTACAGCGGTGCACTTGGGCTCCACAATGGTACCGGCACACATTTCTCCGGTGGAATCTCCACTGGCGGCCCATCATCAGCAACAAATGGGTTCGCCGTCCTCTCAACTGGGCCACCAACAGCAGCAGCAACAACCGCAGCAGCTGCATCACCTTCCAATGGGTTCGCCGTCGGGCCAACTTCCGGTTCATCCCATGAATTCGCCCATGTCACCCATGCACCCACCGCTACCGCCCCACCTGAGTTCCCCTTCACCAATGGGCTCCCACCCGCACCACCACATGAATTCGCCATCTCCCATAACGCCGGGCTCGGTCCACCCAGCAATGGCTTCGCCCACGGCGATGGGGGGTACTACGATGCCTCATCAGCCGTACCCAAACGCCTCGCCCCCCCACGTTACACCTACTACCAACATCCCGGGCCTGCTGGAGTCTTTCACCATCCAGCTAACTACTACTGGTAATGAGACGTCTTTGCCGCTCTCCGACCAATCTCAACACCAGCAGCAACATCATCATGAACACCAGCAACATCAGCAGCAACAAGAACAGCTACAACAATCTCAGGATGTTTTACCCGGTTTTGGGACCTTTAGCAATCATCAAAGGCTCCTACCAAGTTTCACGGAATTCAACGTAACCGGGTTTATGGATGACCCAAATCAATCAGAGGCCATTAACGTGGGGGGGCTAAGTCCAGAGGAGAACGTATCTCCTCAAGATGGATCGTTCGAATCGTCTGAATCGGGTTACGGTCTGTACAGAAGTTCACCGCCTCGATACCAATCCCTTACGAACGCGGGAGTGAACACTGACGGCATGATCATCAAGCGGTATGAAGTTCAAACGCATTTTCTGCCGCAACCGCTTCAGCTGACCCGAAACAATTTTGAAGCGAACAATAATTTACCACGAATGATACAAGCGAAAGAGGAAGTAAATCCGAATGTCGGTAGACAAATAGTGAAAAATGTGAGACTGAAAGGCAGTTTTGTAATTACTAGGGAACATCAAGTAATCAGCACGTTCACTGGCTCACATTATATTTCCCAGGACGGCTTTCACAAGTGCATCGAATGCGACAAGATTTTCAACAAGGCTTGCTATTTGACACAACACAATAAAAGTTTTCACTCTGGTGACAAACCATACAAATGCAATCAATGTGGTAAAAGATTCACCCTCGAATACCTGCACGCGGAGCACCTGCTGAAGCACGCCGGTGACAAGCCGTACAAGTGTGAAATATGCCCGAAGCAGTTCAACCACAAAACTGATCTTAGGCGGCACATGTGCCTCCATACTGGCGAAAAGCCGTACGCCTGTGATACTTGCGGCAAGGGATTCATCAGAAAGGACCACATGATGAAGCACCTCGAGACGCACAGAAAGAAAAACAATCATAACGTCCATCTAAGGACGTGATTTGAGAGAAGACTCAACATCGAGGACTAGCATCGTAGATCAAGAAACAATGACGGTCGTTATCTGGTGATCTTCGTCCTCACGATGTGTTCGTGATTATCAATCGAAAGGTGAGACTCGTTTATCGACCGAAAATCATGATGGGGATAATCGCGACTTCTCGAATCGAGTTTTTCTTATTAGAGTCGATCAGATACTGGGATTCAAGCGGACACCCATCTGATCGTATAAATCTTAATATTTTAATCGAATAATATTTTAATTTATTAATAGTTTTTCGATTATAATAGTTCGCACTAAGATTCACGATTATATGATTCGTATATTATAGTACGTAACAAGATATCACGCCCAAAAATTATATTTTTTATTCATAATTTGAGTAATCAGAAATAGCTTGTAATGTTATTTTGCTTTTCTTATTTTATCTTCAGAGTGATCTGTCGATCGAAATTATCGTAGTTCGGTAATAGGTAATCTCGCGAACTAGTATTTAGCGAATAGCAATTACATGTTGTTTTTGTTTAATTTGGAATCGAGAGCGAAAATCATTGCGTTCCGACGAGGAGGTTCGATATCGTGGAGCCCACAACGCGTATGACAGACCTTACAAAATTACTTGCGATTTTTACTCACCTCGCAACCCAGATTTGAATGAAAATTATAATAAAGCATTTGAACATCGAATGTCGCGATGCGTAGAGCCGATCGTACGATAGTTCGACTCGATGAATCGCGAATTCTGTTCCGATAAAATGCGTCAGGTAACGCGATCTTGAATCCACGATCCCCTCGGGAACAATTGAAAATTTACGCGGTATCAGAAAATAATTATTCCGGAAAGAAAAAGAAGAAAAATAATGCGCAAGCTATGACTACGAAGCTTATTAATTGTACAAAATATGTTAAATGTATAGTCATGTAATTAATGCAATTATCGCCATCATTGCAATTAAATTCAATTGGATATTGATATTGGCTAGAAAGTGGTTAAATTTATTTATAAATAATCATATTTTATAGTATATATAGCATACTTTATCGAGAGAGAACGGAAAGAAAAAGAAAATGATTAATAGATAATTACGAAAAGACGCGGCGATGATAAAGCGATAAATCAGAAATACCGTGAAAATCGTTACACCAGCGATGGATCGTATATAGTTTTGTGACAACTTTGTTATATATCGCTTAGTTTCTTCTTTTTTTCATTATTTACCGGAGACGATCAAGAGGTGAAAGACGAAAGTCCTTTATTACCTATGATTTTATATTTTAGTTTTACAACGAGCCTCTAGACGCCCTCATTTTTAAAACATTCCATTTTTTTGTACATTCCAGTATCGCCAAATGAATATCCGTCGCCGGGAATCGGTTTTCACGACAGCGACGCGTCTTTTCCTTTTCTTCTAAACCTTAAGCTTAATAATAGCCTAAGTTTCGAATTGTACGTTGCCTGGAACGAATCTCGCTCGTGTCGTTTCCTAGCAAGACGCAAGATGTTTCTCCTCGTTTTTGAAATGGTTCAACGCACCATTACACATCGAATTTTAATCCTTCGTATCCTATAGTTATTGTAATAACAAAAAAAAAAAAAAAGAAAAAGGAAATAAATAAAACCAGATTTTTGATTAAGAACAATCAAACATTTTTTACCCGTGAAATTTAAATATATGTCAGAGATGAAAGGACACCGGAGCCTTCCCTCTGGAACTTCGGGAAAATCTGTAAAATTGTAATTAAAGCTTACAGTTGTAATTAAACCATTTGCCGTCATTCTGCCCAATTGTACTTGTTTGCGATTTGTGATAATAAACTTGGACTCAAGGCGACCATCAACCGTGGTCAAACAAGTAAAATTGGGCAGAATGACGGCAAATTGTTTAATTACAATTTTACAATTACGGATTTTCCCCGAAGTTCCAGAGGGAAGGCTCCGGCGTCCTTTCATCTCCGACATATAGATAGCGAATGACTTAGCCACGGCATTCCTTCGATCGATTATTAAATCGTTGGGGAATTTCGTCGAGCGTGCTGCCTCTAATTGCGCGGCAGCCGTTGCATACGATCAATTAATGCTCGATTAATTGCCCGTGGAGCGCAAAACGAGCCAATCACCGAGGATAGCATCGAGTTCCTCCTCTCTCGCGACACGAGCGAATTTCCCTTCGAGCTACGCACAGCTCGTTACACGTTACACACACTCTTACGCACATCCAACATACACTTAAACACACATGAATACATACTTACACACAGATATGCTAAATAAACGTTGATCTCGCTGTAACGAAATTTACACCGCGTTTACGCGTAATTATTTCTGTTGATCATCGTTGAATCGGCCGGATCGACCTTCGGCGTTTAACAGCTGCTTGAACGTGATACATAATTTTGCTGTTCTTTCCGATTGTTATTGTGAGAAAGATATCTTTCTTTTGTTGTAATCAAATTTTTTACTTCTCATAATTTATTTCACAATCGTTGTCGCGATTTTCAGTATAAAACATTTTGATAATATAATATTGTTTTAAATAATTATAGGAACGCATCTTCTAATTTATATGAAATACGATATTTCAATTGCACAAAATGAATTATTGGTTCTGTTTTATTATTATTTTAAATGGCGCGGCATAATTATAAATATACATATTTAATCTCATTCGTGTTCGTTTCAATCACTATGACACATAAGTAAACACAAATACATATACAAATACCGCGTATACACACACATATGACGTCCTTTCGCAAGTTTTCTTTTTTAGTTGTTGCGTATTTAAAGAAAAAGAAAAAAAAAATTGACGTCGAAATATTAAGGCGGAAACGAGAGAAAAAGACGATAAATTATATAGCATTCTTGCCATTTTTACTACGTAATATGACACCCAGAACAGACTACCTCAGAGTTCAGGAATTTAACGATGAATGAAAGGAAGAAAGAAAAGATGAGAGCCAATGCAATAATAATAATGTTATTAAAGAAATGTAGCTGAGCGCGCACCCGTGCGGGCGGAACGATGTACTTCTCGTGCTTCTCTTCTCGTATTTTCACCCAGCAAATAAATTCAAAAAAAAATAGTAACCTCTTGGATTCACCTCAAGGGTACAAATTATTCCACGAAATTTAAAATTATCCGCGAAATTTCTATTTATTGCTTTGTATTAGATGATATAGTATCCATAGTTTCTTCACTCGTTTCTCAAATTGGCCAATAAAAAGTAAAATAGAAGGTGATAAATTGTAGAGCACGCTTTGCTTTTGTCAAAGAAGTTCCTCGAGTCGCCCGCCGGCCGGTATGAGCGTGTAGTAGAACGTTATACACATAGATACTAATATAAACGAAAAAGAGAAACAGAAAATAAGATTGGTAAGAGAGAAACGATAACGAAAGGGAGGATTTGTAGAGATTCAATGTACTTTTTAGATACATATCAACAGTATTACTGTATACTCCGTTTTCTTATAAATAATCGTATAAAGTTACAAAGAAAAGAGAAAAAAAAAAGAGAACGAAGGAGAGAAAAGGTAAGATCGCGTTAATGAAAATTGAGATCATGAATAATCATGAGTTACAATGCATATTTCTAGTATCATATCATTATCAAATATTAGTACCGGAAAAGAGAATAGAAATACATTCTATAAAAGTGATATAAAGAAATGATTAAGTAAAGAGAAATGAAATAATGCAAAAAAAGAAATTTCCGGTTTTACGGTTTCTTTCTGAGAGAGAAGATAAGAATCAAAGTTCAGGACATAGTAAGACCTCCAATATTTATTTGTTTTAAAATTATAATGCGTTTAATTTGTTCTTCTGATTATTATAATTACTACAATATAGTCCTCTAATTATTTTATTATTGTATTATTATTAATATTAATATAATAACTATGCCAAGCATATTAACAAATTCGTACTTTGTTAATTTTTGACTCTGCGAGCGCGTTCTGCCGTTGCAAGAGTTCGGAGTGAGAGTTTACAATTCAAGATACAATGTAATATAATTGTTTCAACGTGAAAATACTAAATTATATCGATATATATATACGTACGGTACCAAACTGTAATGGTTGTGCCAGAAAAAAAAAGAAAGAAAAAGGGAAAGACGAATCTTAATAGATCCTTGGGTGCTTCCTCTCGTATAATTCTAATTTTTTGGGCATTCAACAGAGAAATAGACAAAGAGACGAGTTCTATGAAAATAAAAAATAGAGTAAAAATTATAAACTAAAATGAGTTATGTATGCGAAAATGGGAATGCGTGTAAGTAATGATGCAGGAAAGGAATAAGAGAACGCATGTGCGTGCGTGAGAGAGGGTGAGATTAGTGTGAGAGAGATACGGAAAGGAAGGGAAAGTAGAAGAAATTCTTATCCATTCCTTGTTATGTGCCATAATAACTGTGCGTCGATAAAAATTGTAAACGGTTAAAGCATGAAAAAGGAGTAAAGGAGGAGCGCGTGTATACGTTTCCTCGTATGCGTGTGCGCGGCCACCTGTATGTATGTATGCTTGTGAGTGAAGCACGAAGTTTATATATTATATATGTACACAAACATTACGACAACAACGGATGGTAAATGAAAGAGATAGAGGAAAAACCAAGAATGAAGTAATCGTGCGCCGGTGCATGTCCGTTCGAGAAATGCTAGCGAAAGAATACGACGTGAAAGTGAAAATACTTAGATGTAACGCTCACAGTCTCGCGACATGCAGTCTGTTCCTTCCCTTTCTTTTTTTTCTCCTCTCCATATGTCTTTCTTTTTCCTACTTGATTAGAAAATAAGATAGAAAATTGTGGGGGAAAAGAACACATAACCTATAGTGTACGGAGAGGAACATAAGTTTAAGAATTGTATTATTTTATACAAGTTTAATTTTGATTTTATAAATATATTTTATGTCAGAATACACACAAAAGATTTCCTTATTTCACGACTCGATCATCTCCACTTTTGTACCTTGATTTTGATTTTCCGTCTCAACGCAGATACAAGTACAAACCTTGAACGATACGAATGATCAGCTCGTTCGTAAACTCTTCTCAACGTTCGTGAATTCTTTACGCGTACGGACGATCCAAATATTAGTTATAGAATAAGAGCCGGCATTCTCGTCTCGCGAACCGATCGAACGATCCAACTACGCACGGACCTTTGACTCTCGTGACCGAACTCGCGCTCGCGTCAAGAATAATTCCGTCAAATTTTACATTCGCGTGGTCGCTGTACTGGATACAATGTT